TGTGTGTGTGTGTGTGTGTGTTTAAGTGAAGACGAAGAATGTTCTTCGTCCGCCGGAATTATGCCTTTCTTCACCTGAGCTTTCTAACTCTTATTGGAGCCCATAGTTAGAAATAAAAGCCGCTACAACATAAGCACATGTTTTTTAGGGGTAAGGGTCACCAAAACACCAGTTTAACGGGACCACGTTATCTGATATCTGTGTGCACTTGTAAGTAGCTACCCCTGTGTTCATTGACTTCCTGCTTCGAGGGGAGTTTTTGTGTCTTTCCATTTGTCCATTAAGACAAAGGAAGATAAACACGATTAATTTTTTGTTGTTACTAATTGTGTGTGTAAGGATATATTATTCGGACAAAATGAATTTAAAGCAAGCGAGAACAGCAGGATTTATTTGTACAAATAAATTTCGGGGCAGCTTGTCAACTGCTTCCTCTCTTTGCTTGAATAAGAAAACAAATGGACAACCCAGTAGTTTGAATTTTTACAGAATCAATAACATCAAGGCCATTTTAACGCGGCGAATAGCCAATAATAATGTCGCCTTTAACCTTGGGAAGGAGAAGTAGGGATTTGAATTAACGAAAATAAAAGGCTGATCACATGTAGGTATGCGATTACCAGGGCAGTTGGAGATTATTCAAATGGTCTAACTGCTTAAATAGGTCGGGTTTCTCCCGCCGTAAATAGGCTGCTTACATGTAGCGCAAGGTCAGATTTGATCGTGCTCGAAAAAGAACTCGGAAAGATATGTTGAGGTCAAATGAGTGACCACTGTCTAGCAAATGTTTTGTATTGGAGGACCGTGGCATTTGTTTTCTTGTTTAAAAAGCCCGTTAGGTAGATATTCAGCGGCCCTGGTAATCAACTGCTTTTGCATACGGTCAATGTGCTTGCATCCGCTAGTACACGTGAATTCATAGACACAGTGCAAGGGCGAGACATCCTTTGTCCGGTTAGCTGGAAGGCTTTTAGTGGGAGTGAGGAACACTAGTTCAGCTGCATTGTACCTTATCTATATGGTACACCGTAGCCGTCGCTAATTGTATTTGAAATACTGTCACCCCTAAAAGGTAAAGATACAAAAACAGGCTTTTTCCGGAACCGACTGTTCCGTAGATTTCGGCCGTAAAGTGCTGCTGTATTCTTGAGTGAAACGCGAGGGATAGCCACGTTGACAAGCTCTCCCGAAACGTATTTGTACAAATAAATCCTGCTGTCAT